CCCAAGACGGTTTCAAATGCCCTCCGAGGCCTCCAAGGACCCCCCAAGAGGCCAAAACCCTTCAACAACCTAAGGAAAACCAGGTTGTTTGCCTTATCGCGTTTTCGCCTCCGAAGGGCTCTTGAGGCCTCAAGATGGCCCCAAGAGGGCCCAAGACAGCCCCAAGAGGGGCCCAAGAGAGTCCCAAGGCGGCCCCAAGAGCGCCCAAGAGCGCTCTAAGAGCGGGCCAAGAGGGTCCCAAGACGGCATTTTTGAGCCTCCGAGGGGGGGGGGGGGCAAGAATTGCTCCCCTCCCCCTCCCCCCCTTCTTTAGCCATAAAGACCAAGGCGCCCCCGAGAGGCCTCCCAGAACTCCCCCAAAGAGCCCCGAGAGGGCTCCAAGACCCTCCAAAAGAGACCCAAGAGGGCTCCAAGAAGGCCCCAAGAGGACCCCAAGGGCGCCCCAAGAAGACCCTAAGAGGACCTCAGGAGAGCCCCAAGAAAGAGCCGCATGAGGCCCCAAGAGGGGCCCAACAGAATCCCAAGAGGGCCCCAAGATGCCTCCAAGTTTCGGAACGCACGCGAGTTTAAGATACAAATCAGTGCAACAGCCATTACGAGTCATCGAAATACCCCTCACCTCTCATCGAAGCACCATCGAAATTTGCACCCATTTCAATATTAAACTTCAATGCGGGAGAGCGCTCCGCCCACTCTGAAGTGACGATCCCCACGCTGACGAACACTAGGAAGATTGCTGCGGGGAGCGAGCTATTCGTCAAGCCAGGTGCACCCACTAGCAAGGAGGCCGACGCTTCTAAGAAGCGCAGGACTTGCTGAGTCCACAGCCTGGAGGCGCAGAGTTTTGTATCGCATTGCGCAGCACGAGGATGTTTTTTTCAGGAGCACTGCGTGCTGCAGGCTCGCGGTTCGGGCGTTAGTCGGGGAGGGGTGGCGGGAGGGAAGGATGGGAACTCAAGGGGTGGAGGCGGCTTCCGCTCTGAACCATGATGGGCGCAGCAAGTAGGAGGGTGGAGTTTGCCGCCCACGCGGATCGGTTCGCTTGACCCGCCTCTCAATGTCGCTGCATCGATGCATTTTTTTGAGACAGCGGCTCTGACGAGAGGTGGCCGCATCCGACAACTGCGGATCACCGCGACGCAAGTGCAGAGCTGCGGTGCCTTCAATGACAAGGCTAGGCGCGATGATAAATGCAAAGAAGGCCCCAGACCCTCCAAAAGAGCCCCAAGAGGGCCCCACGACGCTCCAAAAGAGCACCAAGAAGCCCCAAGAAGGCCCTAAGAGGACCTCAGGAGAGCCCCAAGAAAGAGCCCCAGGAGGCCCCAAGAGGGACCCAAAAGAATCCCACGAGGGCCCCAAGATGCCTCCAAGTTTCGGAACGCACGCGAGTTTAAGATACAAATCAGTGCAACAGCCATTACGAGTCATCGAAATACCCCTCACCTCTCATCGAAGCACCATCGAAATTTGCACCCATTTCAATATTAAACTTCAATGCGGGAAGCTATGTGATGCTTGCGTTCTCGAAGACGGCTGCGCGACTGCATGCGTTCTGCCGCCCCTGATTCACTCACTCCCCTGCTGATCGTTTCTGGATGGTGGGGACACGCGAAGCGTCAAGAATTCCCCCCCCTCTTCGTCCTCCCCCTTCTCCTCCGAGGGGGGTGGGGCAAATTTGGGGGACCCCCCCCCCCCCCGACCAACCAGCAAAGGAGAATGCACTTGGACCCCGACAGCAAGCAGCAGAGGCAGCAAGTGGAAACGGTGGCAGCAAAACACTGCCACCCTCCTCCCCCTCCCCTTCCTCCCCCTCCCCGCCGCTCCCGTGCACCTGGCCCGCCCCCTCTCTGCTCCTGCCTCTCCTCCTCTCTTTTGCTTGTGGGCAAGAGAGAAACATGTCGGATGGTATCCGAGTTGGCCCACTTAGGGTAACCACTCGGTCCCACTTAGCCTGGTTAGCTTAACCACTTACCAACCGACATCCAAGGACAACCCACAACATACGAAACGGGATCCGTTGATATCCCCATAAACAGCTTACCCCATATAAGATAGGAGAATCACATGCACATGCATGTAGCCCAACCGCTTAGCAAGCGCAGCGGCCATCGCAGTGGGAAGGCCCGCCACTTCTCGCTTCCCCCCTCGCTCGCCGCCGACCCTCTTGGAGGGCGGATGAATGCGCATCCGTAGTGAGGACCCGTGAACACCCAAACCCCCTCGCGCCGTGAGAAAACCGCGGAGGGAGGTCTTTCGCAACTTTCGGCCTCTGGGGGCCCTCGCGGGGCCTCGGGACCGTCAACAAAACGACTCCGGACGAAACACCGGTCCCGGGGAAGGGGTCCAGACAGACCTCCGGGGGTCGACGTCGTGAAAAAGTCACGGCGTCGGGGGTCTGGGCACGAGGCGCCCACAGACGGCATCGACCGAGACACGAGGGCGCTCGGTGAACGCAGGGGTGGGGGGCTCCTCGGCAGGCACGCACGCAGGGTCGGGGGTCGGGGCGGGTCTTGCCCAGTGGACCTCTGGCCCCGCGGGCGGCCCGCGAAGGTCTCCGCCTTCGCGCTGGCCGACGGCACGAGCTGGTGGATCCGCAAGGCGTCCTCGATGGGCCTGTCCGCGTCGGAGCCGGACCCCTCCGCGTCCGAAAACGGCGCGCAGGCGTCCTCGCCGTCTCTGTGAGGCTTTCTGGCAAGGGCCGGGCTGAAGTCGCGCATCTGCCTGGCCGCGAGGCCGCCGCCCGCGGCGCCGCCCTGCCCCGGGTGCACGTAGGCGCGGCGCCCAGGGTGGACCCCGAGCTCCACCTCGTCCGACGAACGCAGCAGCGCTTGCACCATTCGCCCAGCGAGGCGGTCCCAGCGCCTCTGCAGCTGCTGGAGCGCGACGCCAGAGCTGCGCTTGAGGGCCTCGGAAGAAAGACCGCGTCCGAACAGCAGGTCCCGGAACTCCTGATCCTGGTCGGGCAGCCTCGACTCCATCAGCATGCACGCGCCCTCCAGCAGCTTCTCGAGCTCGCCGCGCTTGAGGGACTCCACCATGGCAACCAGCTCGTCGAGGCGGGCGCTGCGGTGCCGGATGCCCTGAAGCAGTCGCACGAACGCGACGCGCTCGCACATGCCGCTGCCGTAGCCGACGGGGGGCGGGAGCTGCCCGCGGATGTACTGCAGCGTGCGGTCCCAGCTGCCGCGCGCGCAGGCCACCATGTCGTCCAGCTCGCCCGCGACGGCCTCGAGCTCCTCGGGGGGCGGCGCCCGCACGCCGAAGCTGGGGACGTGGAGGCCGGCCGCCGCCGGCGGCGAGGGCAGAAGAAGCAAAAACCCCATGAACAGAAACTCTTGGCGCTCCGCGCGGGGTGCTTGGATCTGCGCCGGCACCCTGCCTCCCCGGCGCGCGGAGCGCGCCAGGGGCGGCGCGGAGGCGCCGCCCGCGGGGGCCCCCGGCGCGGAGCCCAGAAACCCGCGCGGAACGCCAAAACTTTCTGCCTACGGCGCCTTGTCCTCCTTCGGGAGGGGGCCCCGGGGCTGTCGCCGCGGCTGCCGGGGCCCGGGGGCGTCGAGGCGGCTCGGGGCTGCCCGTGCAACTCGCCGGAGGGCTCGAGCGCGGCCGAACCGCGGGAGGGCGCGGCCGAGCCGCGGGAGGGCGCGGCCGAGCCGCGGGAGGGCGCGGCGGCCTCGATGGAGGAGCCGCGCGAGGCGTGCGTCGCGGCCTGCTCGAGGCCGGGGCCGCGGTCGCGGCCCAGAACGTAGGAGAGGCTGGCCTCGATGGAGGATTTGTTTTGTTTTGTTTTGTTTTGTCTTGTTGTTGTACTCTCATTTCTGAAACAAAATATTGTTGATCCCCCCCGTCCGGTGCACATTGATTTTTTCAATTGAAGTGCCCTCCCGGGGCTCGTACTCTGTTTTTTATCTGGGAAAGTCTTGAAGGTCAAACTGTGTCGTTGGCCCCCGGTTTACAACAACAACGGCTCCCGCCTGAGACTTCCTTTCAATTTAGCCAGGACCCCCGCTCCCGCCCGGAACTTCCTCGAGTTTTATTCAGGAATCGCGCTCTCGCTTGGTACTTCCTTAGAATGTATTATCCCGGCGCTCTGGAGTCGCGCTCTCGCTGGAGACTTGCTTGCAATTTACTGAAGAGTAGCGCCTTGCGTTGGAGCTTCCTGCAATTTACTCAAGCGCCGCGCTCCCGACACCCAGGCACCCAGGAGTCGCGCTCACTCTTAGGACTCCCTCACAGATTACATAGGAATCGGGATCTCGCTGCCCTTCGTGGCCCCGATGCAGCCCTTCGTGGCCCCCTCGTTTTGTTTCGTGGCCCCGTTGCAGCCCTTCGTGGCCCCGTCGCTGCCCTTCGTGGCCCCATCTATGTATGCCCTTCGTGGCCCCCGCTCGTTCGCGCCCGTGGTGGCCCCATATGCATGTCCTGCGTGGCCCAGTTGCTACCCTCAGTGGCCCCATCGTTGCCTTCTGTGGCCCCGCATTATCTGCCCTTCATGGCCCCCGCCGTTGCCCTTCGTAGCCTACGCATTCGTGGCCCCATATGTATTCCCTTCGTGTCCCCGCCGTTGCCCTTCGTAGCCTACTTCGTGTCCTTGTGGCCCTGCTGTCGTTTTCTTTCGCTCTCGCTTTCGCTCGTCGCCGTCAGCGTCGACGTCGTCGCCGTCGCCGTCGTCGTCGACGTCGTCGTCGTCGTCGTCGTGGTCGGTCCCCTGTCCGTCCCTCCTGGGGTCGGGTCGACGATCCGCGGCCGCCCCGCCGATCAGCGCTGCCGCTGGCCAGGCCGACGGTCCGCGGCCGCCCCGCCGCTTGCCGGGGCCCAGCCTGCAGGGAAGAAAGGCATACCCCCCAAAAGGGTATCGATCGAAGACGAAGAGGGCGGGCATCGAGGGTTTGGGAAATAGGCGTTATTGGACACTCGAGCAGATAAGGGCGAACAATCTAAAAATTATTGTTGTTGTTGTTGATGATGGTGTCTTTCTTCTTCGTCCACAACGCGAGTTCACGCTGGCTTGATAGAGGAAGAAAAACGCCATAAACATAAACTTGTGGCGCTTTGGGATCTGCTCTGGACCCCCTCCCTGGCGCGTGGAGCGCGCCAGGGGCGGCGCCGGAGGCGCCGCCAGGGGGGTCCCAACGCAGATCCAAGAAATCCGCGCGGACCGCCAAACATTTATGTAGATGCCGATGTTTGTTCCTCGATGTTGCTTCCTTCACGACACCGGCCCACGCTGGCGTTGTCATGTTGAGCGTGGAAGGTGGTCGGGGCACGTGCCCGGAGCAGCGAGCTGTCGGCGGACGCGAGCTTCACGCCCGCACGGCCTCGATGGAGGAGATGGCGGCGGCCGCCTCCTCCTCCGTCGCCCCCGCGGTGGCGGCCCTGTCGAGCCGCCCGCGGATCCCGGCCGCCTCCGTCGGGCCCCCGCAGAAGGACTTGCTCGCCTGCGGCCGACGAGGAGGGCAGGCAGGGAGGCCCCAACGGATCTCCCGCCCTCCTCCCTCGCCTCATCCCATCCCTGTAGGGGGACGAACCATGGCACGAACACCAAAGCTCGAAGGTCCGCGCGGAGCGCGCCAGGGGCGGCGCCAGAAGCGCCGCCAGGGGGGTCCAGCGTCGATCCGAGAAACCCGCGCGGACCTCAGAGTTTTTATGTTTATGTCATTGCCCGTTTCCCTAATCCCATCCCTACCTCCCTCCCTGCCCTAGCCTTCGGGGCCCCCCTTACCGTTTCGACGTGCACGTTCTCCGAAAGCCCTCCCCCCCGTGGCCTGGCGGCCCGTCGCGTAGAACGCTCCCGCGAAGTTAGCCAGGCGCGCCATTCCGACCATCGCAGCCCGCACGTCGTCGGGGCTTCGATGGCAGACCTTCGGCGAAGTGACCTCTGCCGCGAGCCTCGAAGACTCCTCGAGCAGGCCCCGCAGCTCGTAGACCTCCAGCTCCATTTCGTTCAGCTGCTCCGAACGCTGACCCAGGGCGTGTATGAGGGATTCCGTGACACGGTCGATGTCCTCCTGGAGGGCATCCTCTGCGAGTGCCCGCTCGGTGCTCGACCCGTGGTCGGGCGCCCCCGCGGGCTCTCCGCTGTTGACGGAAGCGGCGGCCGCTGGCCCCAGCATCGCAGTGGTCGCCTGGGCCCCAGGCGGCAGGCTGGCGGCAACCACTGCCAGGCCGCCCAGCGCACCCGAGGGGAGCTCGGGGCCGGCACCTCCGCGGGCGCTCCCTCGGATGGGTGCGCCGCGCGCGCTCGCCGCGTCGGCAGCGGGCGCTTGCACCCCAGCGCTGCGCAGCGCGGCCTGGCTGCTGCTGCGCACCTCCAGGAGGGCTGCGCCGTGGCCACCGCCGTCGCCGCCCTCGCCAGGAGCGCCGAACGAGGGGGCATGGCCACCGCCTTGCGACACTGGAGACTGGCCCTGCGCTCTTGCGCTTCTGGCAGCCCGTTGGACTGCATCAGCGTTGTCGCCAGGGCTACTGGACCAGATGGCCTGGCCGCCGCTGGACGACGCTGGAAGCGGGCCCCCCACGCTCATCGCGGCATCAGCCGCTCGATCCCCGCTTCTGCGCTCGCCAGGGTCGCTGGGAAAGGTGGCGTGGCCACCAGTGCCGCCCATGCCATGGGCGGATGCCGGAACGCCGTGGCTCTGGGTGCTCCCCCCGCCGCGGCCATCGCCCAGGTCGTAGGCGGCGTCTGCCACTGGCACGAGGCCGCGGCCACGGGCGCTTAGCTCCCCGAAACTCCCGTCGTCCCCCTCTCTGAGGACGGCTGCCGCGGCGAGGCGGAAGCCGCTGCCGCCGCCCCCGCTGGGAGAGGCAGGCGCGGCGCGGGCTGAGGCGCCCCCGCCGGGGGAGCCGGGCGCGGCGAGGCGGGACATGCCCCAGCGGTTCCCTCCGGGCGACCCTGGCGGGGAGCCCGGCAGAGGGGGCTTCGCAAAAGTCTTCGGAGACGTGCCCCGCCTGCTGCTGGGCGGATCAACACTGCCGCCGTGCGCCGCCGCAGCCGTGACGGGCCAGGTCGTGTTGCCTTCGGCGCCGTCGCCCTGCGCTGCGGAGTCCCCCATCCGCAGCTTCTGCTGGCCAAGTCCCAGGAGGGGCAGCCGCGCGGGGAGCTTCGACTGCACGTCCGCTTCGAGCACCTGCTTCAGGCCGTCGCCCGCGACCTCCTGACTGCTGGTCCCTTCTGCTCTGCGCTGCTGGCGCAGCTCCAGCTCCTTCCCGGCTACAGAGGCACGGAACGAGAGCGGGAGCACGACGACAGCGACGACGGCGACAGACACGACGACCATTTGACGAAGCGTTTTTTTTTGTTGCCGAGGGAGCTGCGACCCGTCCCTCCCGCACTCGACACGCCGTACCTCGGTGTGTTGGCCCTCCCTTGCTGGAGGGAGTCTTATCCGGAGCGGGGCGAGGAGGCTTTCTGGAGGCCTCCCCAGTGGGGTCCGAGCACATGGGGTCGGATGACCGCACCGGATCGCGAATGCATCGGCGATGCATCGGCGATGCATCGGCGATGCATCACCGACGTCGGCGACTCATCGGCGACGTCGGCGTGGAGAAAATCGGGTTCCGCATCGAGCCGCATCGCCGATGAATTAAACGTATGAATTAAACTTCGGCAAAATGACGCACGGAATTTAATGGTCCATTGCGTCGCGCCAGGTCTGCTTCCACGCTGCGCATGGCGTTGCGAACCCTTCCGCTCCGAGCTTCGATGCTGGCGGAAAACTGTCCAGGTGCTCTTGCCCGCAGCTCTGTGAATGTATTCCCTTGTTATTGCATGTCCTTTGCGGCGTCGTTGTTGAGGGCGCCTTCGCCGTCGGAAGAAAGCGCTCGTGCCGGGCCAGGCTTTCCGCGCCAACGTCGCTGGCAAGCGTCAGGGGGGATATATGGTCAAAGGCCTGGGCCGCCCCCCTCATGCTGATGCCATCGGGCCCCCCCGCCCCCCGCGTGATAGTCCCTCCCCCTGTGGTTGTGGTGTGGTGCTGTGGGTGCGGGCGTGTGTGGCGTGGTGCTCCAGGACAGCTCCAAAGGTTGTCGTCGTCGTCGTCGTCGTCGCGGTCGTCGTCGTCGTCGTCACCGCCGTCGCGGTCGCCGTCGCCGTCGTCGTCGCCATCGTCGCCGTCGCCGTCGTCGTCGTCGTCGTCGTCGTCGTCGTCTTCGTCGTCGTTGTCCCCCCCCATCTCATCATGGGAGGGGAGCCCGTGGAGCCATGGGACCCATCTCATCCTAGGGGGGGAGGGGGGGGGCCGTGGGCCCAGAGCCCAGGACCAGAAACATGTCCTTGTTCGGCACCTCTTGTCCAACGCCCCAGCGAGCGCACTTATCGATCGCATGGGACATAGCGTGCTCCTGCGTAGACCATAGCATGAACGCCTGCTTCCTCGCTTAATTGGCCCAGGGGGCTCACCGACGGAAGCGTTCGATATCCCCGACAGGTGTCGCGTGCACCCTTGCTCATATTTAGATGGGGGTCGTCCACGCCCGCCGAAAATATCAGCATCATCTTCGGCGCCTTGGCACGACGCTATCGCAGGCGAAACCTGTGTGGCTCTTTCTCGACCACTGCAGAAGCATAACTGCGTAAGTTGTTGCAAACTGTGCTGAACATTGAATCTGGTCCAATCGGGCAGTCGTGTAGAGCCCGTACCATTATTGGCACGACTCCGGCGCATTCGAGATGGGTTCTTTGGATCGGGTGGAAAGGATCTGTTGTTGGTGGAGATCGTTGGAGTCTGACACGTCGTTCTGCGACCTGCGTGGCGCCACGCGGTTGCATGTCTACACGCTCGGCAGGTGGTGCTGCCAGTGTCTTCTGCCGAAAAAGGTCGTAGCCACTCGCGTAAGCTGTGGAGTCAACGCTTGCGCGTGGACGTGAAGGTTTTGGATGTGCGTCTTGGCGTCTGGGCTCAAGGGCCGCCAGAAGTTCTGAGGCTTGGACCGCTGGCGGTCTCGGGTCATGACCAGGTGGCAGCGCCCATGCTTCAGCACATCTGCATTCGCCTGCTCTCCAAGTGTGTCCATTCAGTGTAGGTTTCGTTACAGACTAAGCAAAACAAGTACATCATATAATCGTGGTCGGGTCGGATCAGCGATCATGTTCGGGACTGCCCTGTCACCGGCCATCAAAACATGCAGCGCGCCCCCATCCACCTGGTGGTACACGATGTATCGTGAATAATGCCGTGTTGAGCGCTGGTGGGTCACCAAAACAAGCCGCTGCTTTTGGGGAAGCTTGCACGTATCCGTGTTGCGTGTCTCCACTCGACTTTCGCCTTGATAGCCAAGGCAGCTTCAACACTGGCCGACTGCATCTTGTGTGTGCACTGCGGCTGTGTTACCCTTATTGGAGCTCTCTGGGAACACTCCAGCGCTGCGCTGGAGGGTCCCAGCAGGGTCTCGAAGGGGCCTCAGGAAGGCCCCTTCTGGAATCCCAAGAACTCAGGAAACCTCGCGTTTGTGAGATGGCTGACCGTGTCGATGCCGGCCCTCGAAAACGAATCGTGCAAACGATTTCAGTATTGCCAGCTCGTTTGCCAAGATCTCTGATGGCCTCTTGATGCATTCGCCGCAATTGTCCTTTAAGCCAGTGGCGCATTGGTCCATGGTAAGCGTATTCCAATGAGGTCACTTAGTTGACCAAGACGGCTCTGCAGAGCCCAAGGAGAGACCCACGACTGACCAGAAAGGGCCCCATGACGACGTCCGTAGGCCGAGAAGTCCTCCCAAGAGGCCTCCAGAAGCACCCAAGAGGCCCGTACGAGGACCCCGAGAGGCTCCCAGGAAACCCAGAGGAGACCCGAAGAGTGCCTCAAGAGACATATTTGTCTTCCTTCATCCTCCTCGTCCCTTTTCTGTTCCCTTTCCTCGTGCTTTCTCGTCCTCTCCCAAGTGTTCCGCCAATGGGTTCCGCACCGGCTGGGCGAACACATAGCCCACCAGCTTGGCCAGACTTCGGCCCAATGTTTGGCCGCGTAGGAGTTTCCGAACTGTAGGGGGCGGTGGTGACTCGCCGTAGGCATCTTCGATACGATGCGGAGCAAACGAATTGATCTTACATTTCAATGTTCACGGGGCCAATATCAAATAAGGCCATGCGGGCCTAACGCGCGTGCACATGTCGAATTTCTTCCAAAACGAGTGTTTGCCCAACGTCCTCGGAACAGCAGCTGTCAACAAGCATTGTCTTGTCAACTGGACTGTGCCAGGCTTCAGTGCGCGCGATCTCGCTGACATTGCGCACAGAAATATGTGTCTGTGCAATTTCGGTGGCAACTCATGAGAGCATCCCATACCACCTGGTCGGCTCATGCGAGTCGACGCTAGATCGACGCTAATCGACACTGCATCGACGCAAACATCGACGCTGACCGACGCTAAGTCGGCACTATCTCATCCGCTCCCAGACGCTAATCGACGCAAGTCGACGCTGGAGACGGACTTAACAGGGTACGCCAGGCTCCCATGATTTGTTACCGAGGGGATGTGCACACAGACTTCGGCCTGGCCTTAGGTCGGGCATAGCCTCCGACAGGCGGATTTTGAGCGAAAAATGAGAGCAGTCAAATAACTATTCGAAACATTGTCCCCAGACTATTCCTTATTATTTTTGCATATTCCTCCTGTAGAGGGTACAGAAGGCTCCCATGAATTGCTGCCGACTGCAATTCTGCCGAACGAGGCAATGCGGGCCTCACGCGCGCACGTCGAACGCACATGCAACACAAGCATCGCTCATCCGTCTGCCAACGAATGCACTCCGGAGCAACAGCGCGCGCGTTGCCGCGCGCGTGCCGACGCTATTGTATAAACCACTGGTTTCACCGCTGTGTCAAGATGTGCTCAAACACGCGTGGAGCCAAAAAGGTTCCAGGCAGACATGTGGATGTCTGCAGCCGCACCTCCACATCATCCTCACCATCACCATCACCATTACCAGCATCAGCATAGTCATACTCATCGTCAGCAGTATCGCAATAATCATCATCATCATCATCATCATCATCATCATCATCATCATAATCAGAATCAGCATCACTATCATCATCAGCATCATCATCGTCATCATCATCAGCAACATCATCGTCATCATCATCAGCAACATCATCGTCATCATCATCCTCTTCATCATTATCGGCGACATTATTGCTTTCATCAATGTCACTATCATTATCAACACCACCATCATCTTCACCACCACCACCACCGTCGTCGTAATTACCACTGTCATCAGCATGACCACCATCAACATCATTGTCGTCATCGTGATTATCGAGGTTCTCGTCATCATCGCCACCACCAACTCTACCATGATTACCATCGTCGACGATGTCGTCGTCACCACCACCTGGGCGGCCGAGCCATGGATGTGCATGACAAGGGTCCTCGCATCTCTGCGTCAGTTGAGTTTTGCCAATGCTTTGCTTGTGGTCGGGTGAGATTTCTGCTCGAACATTGGAGTTGACAATTCCACATTCTTCCGAAACGAATAGCGCCACGTACTTTTCTTCCCAAACGTAGCAGCACGTAGCTTGCAACACATTTCTGGCAGCACGTATATTGTAAGAAACTGCTGCGCAACATGGATTGCTCACCATAGGATCATGTACTGCAACATGCAGACTTGACCTCATGGAGAGAAAACAAGCCTTGCCTTCCCAGCTTAACTGGAAATAGGTGTCAAGGGACTGGCCGCAAGACCCGCCCAGCTCTGAGGCCGCCCATGCCTAAATGCGGCGGTGCTGGTGGTGGCTGGACGTGCTGGGTCCAGCAGGTCCGCCGGCCCACGACGCCCAACCTCCGCTCGAACCTTGGTTCTCATGCTGACACCATGGAGCTCGTGGAGAAAAAGGCGCGGGACGCTGGTGGGCCGGGCGAGTGGGTTCCCGACGCGTCTCTGCCTCCTCACCGCCAGCCACCGCGCGAACTGGTCTGACACAGGGGAGCGAAAAGAGAGACCCGGGGAGGCGGCTCGGAGAGCCAGAGGGGGAAGGCCACAGGGCTGGGACCCCGTTAGGCATCGAGAGTCCGACATGGGGGGCGCACTTTCCTCGAGCGGGCACGCGCGGAACGCATTTTTTTCTATCCAGACTGCTATTTTGCCTGTTCTGTGTCGCGCGGAAATTCGCCAACCTCCCTCAGGCACGCCACGGCGACGACGACGACGACGACTCGTGGGGGGTCAGCTACACGCAGGAGTGACCCTGGGCAAGAGTGACCTTTGGTGCACGGCTTTTGGAGGGCCGCGGGGGGGGGGGGGGGCAAACACAAGCGAGGAAGACGCTACTGCCGCACCGCACGCGACGATCGGAGGGCCCCATTGGGCCGCGCACCAAAGGTCACTCCAGCGAAGGGTCACTCAATTCGTGCAGTCGAGGGGGGGGGCGCCGGGCCCTGGGGCACGCCAGCGCCGGCGCGGATTTCAGTGCGCGCCCTGGCCTTCTGCACCAGCTGCTCCAGGCCGTCTCGGCCCACCTGCGCCGTCTGCCCCCGGCCGCCGGCGGCGTGCGCCGCCTCCGGGCCGTCCCCCGCCGCCTGGGTTCGGTCGGGCGTGCCCTCCTGCAGGCGGATTTTGGACGGAAGCTAAAAACATGTAGTAGACTTTCGTTCATGCCTTAAAAGAACACCGTCGACAGATCGCCCCATACACTATTCTGCCTGACTGACTGAATTCCTCCCGTAGCGGGACGGGCCCGACCGAACGCCTGGGCCGCCTGCTCCCGGCGGTCCTCGGCCGCCGGCGTGCGCCTCGGGGCGGCGTGGCCCCGCGGGCTGGGGCTGCTGGTGGAGCTCGAGGAGCCCCCGCAGGAGGCCTCCGGGATGCCGGGGGTCGCGCTGCTGGAAGCGGCCCCGCCTCGGAGGCCCGCCGTCACGGCCACAGGTCTGATCCGCCCTCCGCTCCGCCTCTCGCCCTCCCAGCCCCTCACTCGTCCCTCCACCGGGGAGGAAGGGGGGGACGGGGGGGAATGATCGGACCGGTGGTTTCCACGAGGGTAGTTACTGTATAGGGGGTAGCGTGGGTGCGTGGGTCCTGATACGCTCATGTGAATATATGTGTACACACATCTATATGTACATGGCATGTGCGTGCCCAGGCTCGTTGTATGTTGTGTATGTGGGTTGTGTGTTGTACGTGCTATGTGTGAGGGATGTGTGGGTTATGTGTATTCTGCGTGAGATGTTTGGGTGTATATAGAGTGTGCGCTTTGTGTGTTGCTTGAGATGGATGTGTTGAATGTGATGCGTTTGTGTGTGTGTGTGCGAGTGTGTGTGTGTGTGTGTGCACTCTCTCTGTGTTGTAGCTGTCGTGTGTTGTGCTTTCTGTGTGCTGTGTGTTGTGTGTTTTGTGTGGTGTGTGGGCGTTCTGTGTATTCTGTGCGCGTGTTGTACGTTGAGGCTCGGCTTTGGGAGGATGTCTCAGGCGAGTCTGCCTTCTTCTAAGAATCGCGTTGAAAACGGGTCCGATGTTTGGAGATGTGTCTCAGGTGAAACTGCAATTTTCTGAGAATCAGGATCACCAACATTGAATTCCACGTGTGTTGAACATGTTTGTAATGTTGGACAACCACTTTGAGTTTGGACCGTGATGTCACGATCTGCGTGAGGGTTGCGTTCGGTTTTCAGAGTGTTGGAGATGCCCCGAGCGAAACGGCCAGAAACATGAACGCGGCTTCACACGTAATCGCCTCTGAGCTCTGCTCCTTCGGAGAGGTGCGTAGAGTTAATATGTACGTATACACATACACATCTGTCTATGGATTCTCTTCTATATTTATATAGAACCTCCAGCGCTGTCGTTGGCTCTGGCGCGCAGCAGGCTGATGAGCTTGCCCTGGCCCAAGATCTTTTGCACCTGCTGCTTGAACCTGACACCCTCCCCTTTCCTGAGGCTCTCTCTGGTCTTCAAGCGCTCCGTCTCCTCATGATGGAGGAACACCAAACAGATTGGCGGGAGAGGGAGGGATGGAGGCAGGGAGGGAGAGGGAGGGAGAGGGAGGGAGGGAGAGGGAGGGAGAGGGAGGGAGGGATGCAGCTCGGGCGAGCAGACCCGAAGACGCCTCGCAAAGCACCAACAGCTGAAGCCGAAACCACGGCTGAAGTGCACGGAATGAACATCCTCCTTCTCCTCCTCCTCCACCTCCTCCTCTTCCTTCTCTCTTCTCCTCCTCCTCCTCCTCCTCCTCCCTCCTCCTCCTCCTCTTCCCCCTCCCTCCTCCCCCTCCTCCTCCTCCTCCTCCTCCTCCTCCTCCTCCTCCTCTTTCTCCTCCTCATCTTTCTCCTCCTCCTCCTCCCCCTCCTCCTCCTCCTCCTCTTCCTCCTCCGCCTCCTCCTCCTCCTTCTGCTGATCCTCTTCCTCCGCCTCGTCCTCGTCCCTGCAGGCGTTCGAGGGAGAAGGATACCCGCTCCTGCTGCTGCATCGCCGAGTGTGCTTGCTGGAGCCTCGCCAGGGTCGACATGCGCCTCGGGGGAGTCGCGAGCGGACGACTGCGCCAAGAGCGTGAAGCTTGGACTGTGAGGGCAGCGTGTCGAGGCGCGTGGACGGGAGGAGCGAGGAGAGGGAGAGAGCGGAGGGGGGGGCGGTCTGCACGCAAGCGGCTCCTCCTCCTCCTCCTCCTCCTCCTCCTCCTCCTCCTCCTCCTCATCCTCCCTCTGTTCCTCCTCCTCCTCCTCCTCCTCCTCCTTTAGTGCGCTGGCTTCCTGCTGGGCGCCGGTGGCCAACCAACAGCGCGCAGGCCGCCGGTGGGCCCGCACTGCGAGGGTCACTCTGGCGAAGGGCCAACGCCACGTGAAATCGAGAGGAGCAGGGGGAGCTCGTATAGAGGCCTCCTAGATGGGGTCGGCGTAGATAGGGTCGGAGGATCGCGCGCATCGGCGATGCATCGGGGATGCACCAGCGACACATCGTCGACGTCGGCGATGCATCGGCGACGTCGACGTGAAGCAAATCGGGCTCCGCAACGAGCCGCATCGTCGATGCATCGGCGATGCGGCGCGATCCTCCGACCCCATCTGCTCCGACCCCATCTAAGAGGCCCAGATTGTAACGCACCCGGGCCTGTATGCCTGCTCAGGGGGCGGCGCCTCCATCGAGGACACCGCCGAGAGCCTCGGCTCCGTCGTCGCCTCAGCTTGCCCCCAGGCTCCCTTTTCCTCTCTCCCCCTCCTCCCAGACATCCTCGCGTCGTGTAGAAGTCACGAGAGGACATGCCCGGCGACGTTCGGTCTCGGGGGGGGGCCCTCTGTGTCCTGGCCAGCGGCTCCCGATGGAAACCGGGCCCCGGGGAAGGGGTCCAGATCTCCACGGGCCAGTGTTTAAGTGGGGCCTGTCCCCCTACAGGGAGATTGTCGACGAAAAATAAAACATATCCCACAAATGCTCCAAAATGGGGAAAAAATGCTAAAACAATAATCCCCAGGCTATTTCTAGACTATTTTTGAATATTCCCCCTGTAGAGGGACAGGCCCGACTTAAGGCCAGTGTTGCGAAGCAGTCAAGAGATCGGATCTCTCAGCTGCGTCCCCCTGCCCTTCCCCTTCCCCCCACCGGTCTCGGAGGTTTCCATGCCATCGAACATGCCTCCTCCTCCTCCTCCTCCCCCTTCTCCTCCTTCCTCCTTCCTCCTCCTCCTCCTTCTTCTCCTCCTTCTTCTCCTCCTCCTCCTCCTCCTCCTCCTCCTCCTCCTGGTCCTCAACCAAAAGTGCCCCCGGCTCTTCGCGACACGTTGAAGCCCCCACGGGGACCTCGGGCCCTCGTGGGGCGGGGCTCTGCAGGCCAAGGCTTGGGTCGTCGTGGGCCACTGCCACCTCTCGAAACACCCCACGATCTGTGAGCACATCCCGATCCCGACGCCAGTCCCGGCCAGCCGATCCTGCTCGCCTCGATCCGCTGCCCGTCTCTGGAGGTCCCCCTGGAAGCCTCCATACGCCTGGCCGGAAGGACGGAGAAGCCCCCCAGAGGCCCAGAGACGGGGCCCCGGCCCGACCCGCCACCCGTCTCCGAGAGGTCCCATGGAGGTCTCCTGATGACTGACCAGAGCCAGGGTCGTCCAATCCAGCCTCGATCGTCGAGGAGCGGAACTTGGTCGGCGATCGCTCGCTCCGAATTTTGGGCTCTACTGACCCGGGTCAATCCAAGCCCTGGTCAGTCGGGCTTTGCAGGATCCTGCAAGATCCTGCAGGATCCTGCACGCGAGCCAGGGTCAATGCAGCCCTGGCCCTGCCTGCAGGATCCTTCAGAATCTGGCGCCTTGTCTGATCTCCGCTTGCATCGATCCCCCATCTCTTCAGCCCCGACGAATTCATCGGATAATGATCTCGGCAGATCGGGGCTCTCCGAGCTCGGGGCGCGCTCCATCGCCCGCTCCTGGGGCGCGCTGGGCGGGAGAACGACGACGGGGACCACGACGACGACGACGGCCATAGGCTGGACGGAGGAGAAGGGAGGATATGAAGGTCCTACCTATGGTAGCGGTGGTAAGAAATCGGCCCATCAGCTTGCCATTGTTCGGACGTCCATTCCCCGTGCATGTTTCGGTTTCGTGCGTGTTTCGTTTGGCAAGATGATCCAGGATGCTCCTCGGTGGTCGTCGCCGAGAAAAAAAAGGCACACGTCCGGGCGGTGCCGAGTCAGGGCGGGCGGGGTGTGCGAGAGCGGCCCCAAGTGGCCCTCTGGACCGCACCGGGCCGCCACACAGCGGTCTCGGAAGCGGTGGACACGTGCACATCCTGGCCCCTGTCGATTGCCCCCCCACGCCTCCCGAAGAGTTCGGTGGCAACTCACGGGGGCCCCCCCGTACCATCTTGTCGGCTCTTGCTGATCGACGCTAGTCGACGCTACATCGACGCTAATCGACGCTAGCCGACGCTACATCGGCGCTATCTGATCGACTCCCGAACGCTAATCGACGCTAGTCGAGGCTAGAGACAGACTTGAAAGGGTACGCCAAGCTCCCATGATTTGTTACCGAAGAAAAAAATCGGGGGAAGGAAACACCCGTGCGAACGGAAAACTGACTCGGCTGAGCTGACCCGATGGCGCCTCGAAAACCATCACAGCCGAAGCCGGAACGAAGCTGACGTGCGGAGAAAACAAGAGGTCCCACACTGCAGGCACGAGGCGTTTGATAAAAGGAGGAGGAAGACGAACCGGAGGAGGAGGAGAAGGAGGAGGGGGACGAGGGGAAGGAGGAGGAATTTGAGAGAGGGAGAGGGAGCGAACGGGGAAGGAGTGAGGAAGAGAAAGAGGAAGAGGACGAGGAGGGGAGAAACGAGGAGTAGGAGGCAAACGTCTAAAGGCGACGGCGCGGAGAGTAAGAGGGGGAACGGGGGAGGGCTTTTGAAGCGTTCATGAGGTTGCCGCCGTGGGAGGCCCACCGCGTCCTGCGAAACGTTTGGCCCGAGCCGAAAGACACCGCAGATGTTGCACTCGTCTTTGCGCGCCTGGCCCTGGGGGTCATCTTCAAGATGTGGCTCTCGCCGTACCGCCGCGCACATTCGTTGTAAAATTGGCGCAAAGGCTTCACGGATTGAGGGCGGTTGGTTTTCGCCATGTGGCTCTCGCCGTAACCCCGCGCAGATTCGTTTTAACATTGGCAAGTGTTACACAGATTGAGGGCGGGTGGTTTTCACAATGTGGCTGTCGCCGTAGCGCCGCGAACATCCATTTTAAAATTGGTAAAACGGTTTCACGGATGGATGGTGGGTGGTTTTCAAAATGTGGTTCTCGCTGTATCGCCGTGGACATTCGTTTCGCAATTGGCCGCGGCTTCGCAGATTGAGGGCGGGTGGTTTTCACAATGGGGCTCTCGCCGTAGCGCCGCGCACATTCGTTACAACATTGGCGCGAGGGTTTCACATATTCAGGGCGGGTGGTTTTCACAATGTGGCTCTTGCCTTCGCGCCGCGCACTTTCGTTTAAAAATTGGCAAGGGTTTCGCGGATTGAGGGTGGGTGGTTTTCACAATGTGGCTTTCGTCGTGGCGCCGCGCACATTCGTTTCAAAATTGGCAAGGGTTTCGCGGATTGAGGGCGGTTGGTTCTCACAATGTGGCTCTCGCCGTAACGCCGCGCGCACTCGTTCCAAACATTGGCGAGGGCTTCGCGGATGGAGTGCAGGGGGTTTTCACAGTGTGGCTCTCGCCGTAACGTCGCGCCTATTTGTTTTAGAATTGGCAAAAGGTTTCGCGGATTGTGGGCGGGTCGTTTTCGCAATGGGGCTCTCGCCGTACCGTCGTGCACATTCGTTTCAAAATTGGCGCAAGAGTTTCACGGACTGAAGGCGGGTGGTTTTCACAATGTGGCTCTCGCCGTGACGCCGCACACATTCATTTTAAACATTTGCAAGAGTTTCACCAACTGAAAGCGGGTAATTTTCTAAATGCGGTTTTGGCCTTGGCGCCGCGCACAGTCGTTTAAAACATGAAAAAACTGCACGGGTTGAGGGCGGCTCGTTTTCAAAATGTGGCTCTTGTCTTCGCGCAGCGCACATTTGTTTCAAACTGCGCAACGGCTTCGCGGATTGAGGGCGGGTGGTTTTCACAATGTGGCTCTCGCCGTACCGCCGCGCACATTCGCTGTAAAATTGGCAGGGCTTCGCGGATTGAGGGCGGGTGATTCTCACCATGTGGTTCTCATTGTAATGCCGCGCGCACACGTTCGTTTTGCATTTGGCAGCGGCTTCGCGGATTAAAGACGGGTGGTTTTCACAATGTGGCTGTCGCCGCTAAGCCGCGCACATTCGTTTTGCAACTGGCAAGGGCTTCGCGAATTGAGGGCGGGTGGTTTTCACAGGGTGACTCTCGCCGACACGCCGCGCGCACTCGTTCCAAACATTGGCGATGGGGTTCACGGATTGAGGGTGGGTGGTTTTTACAATGTGGTTCTCGCCGTAACGCCGCGCACATTCGTTTTAAACATTTGCAAGAGTTTCACCAACTGAAGGCGGGTAGTTTTCAAAATGTGGTTCTGGCCTTGGCGCCGCGCACAGTCGTTTAAAACATGAAAAAACTTCACGGGTTCAGGGCGGCTCCTTTTCAAAATGTGGCTCTTGTCTTCGCGCCGCGCACATTCGTTTCAAATCCGCCGACCCTGTGTCGGCGCGTGTGAGGGGCTTGTCGCAAGTTGTCCGTTCCCGTCGTTCGTTCGTCGTCGTCTCCGCCGTCTCCTGTCCCCGCGCCCACCACTTCCCTGGCGCAATCGTCTCCTGTCCCTGCGCTCCCCCTTCCCCTGGCTGGGCCCGTCACCTGTCCTCCCCTTTCCCCCTCTTCCCCGGGCCCGTCGCCGCTCCCCCCCCCGCTTTTCCAAGGCTCCCCCTTAAAACCTCCCCTGCCGGGGGGGGGTCCCGGGGGGGGATCCCGGCCGGGGGGGAATCCTGGGGTGGGTCCCAGGTCAGATATGCCATCCCATGCATGCAATCCAGCCCCACCCCTGGCTCCGCTTCCAGCCCCGGCCTCGGCCTCGGCCGGTCCCGGCCCCGGCCCCGACCCGAGTCCCAGCCCCGGCCCGGCCCCGGCTCCCGCCCCGCCGGCCCCGGCCCCAGACCCAGTCCCGGCCTCGGCCCCGGCCCTGGCCCCGGCCCGGCCGGCCCCTGCCCGGCCTTGGCCCCAGTCCCACCCGCCGCCCCGGCCCCGGCCCCGGCTCTGGCCATGCATGGCTCCCAGCCCGCTCCGGCCCCGGCCCTGGCCCACGTCCCGACCCCGGCGCCCTCCAAATCTAAGTACACCTCCGTGGCCTCCCAGATGCCCAAGATGCCGAACTTAGCTTCACAGCGAACGAAGCCTGGACGTCACCCCAAGAGGGTTCCAAGACGCCCCGAATGGTCCTGAGAGGCAACCGGCATCGTCGTCAACATCGTCAACATCCTCGCCATTATCTCCCCCCTTTTCCTCCACGCTCTACTCGCCCCTGCCCTTCAGTCGTGCCCCCCCCCCCCCGCGACCCTGCTCGCCTCACTCTCCTCCTATTCATTCCCCCCTTGTGCTCCTACTCCTCCTCATCCACCTTTTCCTCCTGTCCCCCTCCTCTTTCCTCCCCATGCTCCGCGCCCTCTTCCCGAACCTGAGGGTCGGCGGCACCGACCGTAAGGTCTTCGCAACATTTGCAAAATGTTCACGGATTCTCCCCACCATCAACGTGATTCACGAGTATGAGGGTGCAACATTTATGTTGTCCCGCGGTGTTGAAAGACCACAAATGGCTATCTGGGACGGTTCAGGATCGTCAAGACGAAGACGTCAAGTAAATCCGTGGCGTTGGCATCCCGAAAACAATGCTTTGGCATGCTGAAGGTCTTCAAACGGTTGTCTTCCAACGAAGCAGTTTCCTCAGTAAAAAAAAAACCGCTGTAGGGGCCTACGAAGAGGGAGCTTGGAGGGAGGGTACACTCCAACATCGGTTGATGACTCTTGGGCTTGCACTGGTCCTCCTCCTCCTTCTCCTCCTCCTCCTCCTGTTCCCTCTCCTCCTCCTGTTCCCTCTCCTCCTCCTGTTCCCTCTCCTCCTCCTCTCCTCCTCCTCCTCCTCCTCCTCCCCCTCCTCCTCCTCTACCTCCTCCTCCTCCTTTTCCGTTTCCTCTTCCTCTTCCTCTTCCTCTTCCTCCTCCTCCTCCTCCTGTAGAGGAAGCATCACGTACTCCAGAAGCTGCGGAAGTCTGGGCACCACCCGCCCGGAATCCATCCGCGGACCCCGCCCAGGAGCCCAGCCCCCGGGGGTTCGGGAGCGTAGCCCGCCGTGGCGACGCGCCCCAGGGCCTCGGAACGTCCAACGGTCTGATGTCCTTGAGCACCGAGCTTCGGGGTTGGCGGAAGAGGAGGCGGTGGAGGAGGAGGAGGAGGAGGAGGAGGAGGAGAGGAGGAGGACAGGAGGGAGGAGGAGGAGGAGGAGGAGGAGGAGGAGGAGGAGGAGGGAGGAGGAGGAGGAGGAAAAGGAGGAGGAGAGGAGGAGGAAGAGGAGGAGGAAGGAGGAGGAGGAGGCTCTGGAGACTCTGGATGACGACGAGATGTACCGAGAACGATGCACCAGGTCAACAACAACAATAATAATTATAGTGAGGGCCGAACGATCAACGTTCGGCTTTCGCGAAATTTGGCAGAGGTTTCTAGAACACCGTTTTCATCAATCTTCTCACCTGAAGGACCCCGCCCCCGGATGAGGTACCTACGTTTAAAATGCCTCGCGGTCCCCAGGGGCGGTCTCCCTAAACATGGTTTGGACATCAAAAACGCTCTAGACACACATCTCGCAGCGCATCCAAAACACCAAACCATTGGGCCAGTGCGCCATCACCGATGGGACGGATGGGCTTCTCGCACTCCTTTCGGGTTCCCAAGGCACGGACAACCCGCCAGATCACCCCGTCGAGCGCGACGATCTCCACGCCTACCGCACACCCATCGTCCCCGAAACCTCTGGATTAAATGACCCCGTCTTCACTTAAGATGATGCTGGGCCCGCGCGCGGGCCTGCCTTCACTCACCTGCTGCGCGTCCTTCCAGCCTCCATTTTGACACAGCCGCAGGACGCGCAGCACACACCGCAAGGTCATCGGCGCCACCGGCTCTCTCATAGTCCTCAGGTTCTCGTTGGATCTCTGCCTCGGATGTTGGCCGGCGCCCAGCCTTGTATAATCTGCAGACTTGTTACCCGTCCAGTATGGAAAACTGATGTCTTGATCAACGTCATCCTTGACATACGCGAAAGAATCCAGACGAACTCAATCCCTGACGTGCCAATGTCTTGAACAACCCGCCAGACTTGTTCCCATACCTCTCTGTATTGAAGCTTCACCTGGCACCCGTAAGGATAACCCTGAGACCGCACATATTTCAAATCCTCGTAGTCCGTGACGATGGTGATGTGCCCTGCAGACTTGTGCTGCAGAAGCTTTGATCACAGCCCACATCTCACCAGCTCTAGATCGAACTTCATAGTGAGGAGCATACAGCTGCCGTCCGTGCATACAACTCCACTGATCAGACCGCTAACTGTACACATGCGCCAATTTATGATATCCTCAGTCGTGGGGAGCGGCGCATCGAAGGTCGGATCCGGCATCAGGCCTTTGCAAGTCATCATCGTGATGGAGTGGTTCCGCCCGTGCTCTTGTCGACACCAGATTAGCAAACTTCTGTCCTCCCCGGTCCAGCTGTGCCGCTCCAGTGCATGCCAGTCAGATATGAAAACTCGGTGTGCATCTGCCCCAACTTTCACGCCACACATAGCACACAGCGGGCTCTGTACCGCTCTGACCTGATGAAGTCGTTATTGGCAACAGAAGTCAACCTCCAGCCAGCCATGTACGCACAAGACCTGCTCCTCTGAAGTCTCATTGTTTCCTCAGTTCGCTGATGATGTTCTTCGCGGGTTGCAGCAGAGGCGGCCCGGTGAGCCCTTCCATTCCACGACAGTGAGGCAGCTCCTGAAACAGTCGTCGCTGTGTGGCTTGGCTTATGATTTTCTTCAAGGGCGCCATGCCTCGATTGTGCATCCCATGTGACTCCTTTCTCTCTGCGACCCATCTGTCCCGTGGAATTGGTATCCATCTCAATCTTTCTAGTGTCAATGCCACCATACCTGCTGGCCCACGAACTCCCCGCCATGTCTTCAATAGATTTTGTGCATCCATACGCGCTAATGCCATTACCCTTGGTCTCACCAATTGTCCGTGTAATGTCTTGATCCAGTCTACAAGTGGACATTCATCAGCAATGAAGGTGGGATCTGCTTGTGGACAATGTGAAGGTTAAAACTCCATGGTCCTGCATCGCCCTCTTGCCGAGCCAAACACCGCATGCCCAGCAATCGCGCGCACCTGCTTCAGCTGCGAGTCAGTGATGCCCTTCACCTTGACCGTGTCTGCAATCGAAGCCAGCCCTCCACCGTGACAGAGACGCCCCATCTGTCGTCCACCTGTGGCCAGCCTGCGAAATCGCGTAATCCTCCTCGTCGTGCTCGCCATTCTTACCCGCCGTGTTTCGCCACCGGCTGCTCCTTGGCGTAATGTTCTGTCGTGTCCAAGTTGCCTGACCGTGCGATGCCGCTTGAACTTATACTGGTTGAGCGCTATCTTTACGTCCTTCTCGAGTTGTGACGTAGTGGCTATGACATGCCCTTTGTTCGGACTGAGCTCCAAACCAAGATCTACCAACTTCCTGCACAACGGAGGAGGAGGAGGAAGAATAAGGGGGTAGGAGGAGGAGAAGGAGGAGGAGGAGGAGGAGGAGGAGGGGGGTAGGAGGAGGAGGGGGGTAGGAGGAGGAGGAGGAGGAGGAGGAGGAGGAGGAGGAGAAGGAGAAGGAGAAAGAGGAGGAGGAGGAGGAGGAGGAGGAGGAGGAGGACCGTCCGCCCCGATCCTCCGCGTGGTCCGCGCGGGCCCTCTCCCGCTCCTGCGCGAGTTTGGCCATGGCGAGGTCCCGGCGGGTGGCCTGTGCCGGCGGGGCGGCGCAGCGCCGAGCCACAGCGCTCGGCCAGCCGCTGTGGCGCCTCTCTCTTTCCCTCCCTTCTCGCACTCCCCTGCCCCCTCCCCCCGTCCCTACTCCTGCTCTTCTTCTTATCATTCGCATGTTTCTTCTTCTTTCTTATTATTCCTTAGTGGTTTTCCTTCTTTTCATTATTATTATTTGTTCCCGATGTGCTGCTGAAGCCCCGATGTGAAGGCCTCCTTCTCCTCCTCCTCCTCCTCCTCCTCCTCCTCCTCCTCCCCTCGCCTCCTCCCGCTCACCCTTCTCCTCGCCCATCGAGTGTGGAAAGTTGAGGCCTTTGCGCGTTCTTGACCTCGCCTGTGCCTCTGGCGGAGCCTCCAGAGGCCGCTGGGGGAGAACCTCTTTGGAGACCTCCGCGGCTTCCTCCTTCACCCGTCTTCCGACGCTGCGTGTTTGATTGTGGTTTGCGGCGCGCGAAGCGCGCCAGGTGCGCCCTGACCTCCGAACGACCATCCTGCTGTGACTCTGTGGCAAAGAAAACCCTGCCATCACTCGGGCCTCCACTCCGTGGGCAGTTTTCGGCTTCGTGCGTGCCTCTCTGGCCACGGGCGGCGAGCGCTGTGCTGCCGCGACTCCTCCGCCCGTCCTCCTGCTGCTCCTCCTCCGACTCCAGCGACGGCGTCGACATCGCCGCCGCCGCAAGTGCTTCCTACTGCAGAGGTGTGTGGCGCCCCCCGGGCCCGAAGCGGACCCCCCGAAACCGAAACCCAACCACAAACTTAGTGGCCTCGTAGATGGGGTCGGAATAGATGGGGTCGGAGGATCGGCGATGCATCGGCGATGCACTGGCGATGCATCGGCAACGCCCGCGTGAAGAAACTCGGGCTCCGCATCGAGCCGCATCGGCGAGGCATCGACGATGCAGCGCGATCCTCTGACCCCGTCTGCTCCGACCCCACCTCCTCCTCCTCCTCCTCCTCCTCCTCCTCCTCCTCCTCCTCTTCATTCTCCTCCTCCTCCTCCTCTTCCTCCTCCTTTTCCTCCTCCTTTTCCTCCTCTTCCTCCTCCACCTTCCTCCTCCTCCCTCCGCCGACCTGTGGTAGTGATGGTGATGTAAGCCATGGAAAACTGCAGCGCGCTGCCTCGCCCGAGGCCCCCGAGATGGTCCTCTGAGCTCGAGGGCCGCCGCGCCTCCCCAGTCGCACGGCGCTGCCCCCCCCCCAGGCCTCGAACATTTTCGCGGGTGGCGAGGAGCTTTCGCCGCTCCTCCCAGGTCTTCGGGGTCCTCCTGCTCCTCCTAGGCTGCTCCCCCTGGCGGCGAGCGAGGGGGGAACAGTGAGAAGGAAAAGCGAGGGGCAACGACAAGGAGGGATAGGGATAGGGGGGGGGACACGTCGACCTGGAATCGGCGATACATCGCCGATAGATCAGCGGTGGGCCTCCGATAGTGAATCCGCACGTTCTTGAGCAGGCTGGGGCCATCGGGCCACTATCGGCGATCAACGGGCGATTGGGGGTGGACGCATTCCCCCCATATGCCCATCCCCCCCTACCGTTGCCCCTGAAGAAGGCCTTCTCAGAAGGCGGCGGGACTTCTCAGAAGCCCTCGCGCCCTGCAGGAAGTTGTTTTTGTTTGTTTTCGGGGAAGGCTTAAACAAAACATGTCCCAGAGGGCCCAGGGACTTCCGAGACTTCTGAGAAGGTCCGCCCCTTCTCACTTCCCCCCCCTCGCTCGCCGCCGATCCCCCTCCTGACTCCAGCGACGACGTCAGCATTGACGCCGCCGCCGACTGGCCGCCCCAGAGGCCTCAAGCTCGCTGGCGAGGGCGCGCCGCTCCTCCTCGGCCGCCTCGGCCATCCAGTCCCGGCCCTGCAGGGGCACTGTTGCCCCCCGCAGAGGGCAGAGTCCGCAGAGGAGGAGCAGCAGGTCGAGAAAGGGATCGACTACGGCATCGATTTACCCCAAAATTGATCTCCGCCGACCACACGACAAATATGCAGAATGCTCAACTTTTCTACAACAAGTTGTAAGCATGTTCCATAGGTTCGACGGAATTAAAAAATGGTTAATACCCAATTTCTGTAGTCCCCTGCTCGAATTAGGAGGAGCGGGGGGGTTCAGACGTCTGGCGGCGAGGACAAATCGAGACTGCACCCTCCCCCCAAACTCTACAGTCTTGGGCACAGGTTGTGAATTAAGTGCAGAGCGCAGCTGCTCCTTTAGGGGGACGAGACAAGACATAAACGTAAACACTCGGAGGTCTGCGCGGATTTCTCGGATCCGCGCTGGACCACCCTCCCTGGCGCACGGAGCGCGCCAGGGGCGGCGCCGGAGGCGCCGCCATGGGGCCCCAACGCCGACCCGAGAAATCAGCGCGGACCTCAGAATTCGTGTTAATGCCATTCTTCGTTCCCCGACCCTCTCTGCTCACGCCCCAGGCCTTCCTCCTCGCTTCCCTGGCTCCTTTGCCTCGCCCCGCCCGGCTCCTCGTGGTGCTGGCAGGCGCGCAACTCTCGCCACCTCGTTGGCACCCCGTGGGAGTCCGTCCAGCGGAGCCGGGGGCCCGCGAAGACCCGGCTAGACTTCGGTCGGGCATGTCCTCCCGAAGGCGAAGTTCGGAAGAAAGATGAAGCATAATCAAAACACATGCAAACAGAACCCAAAAATACCTCTCCATCCCCCCCCATTCCCTGAACCTCTGCCTCCACCTCCTCCTCTCTATTCTCCTTACTCTCCTCCTCCTCAATGCGGCTCCTCGCCCTGCTCGTCCTACTTCTCCTCCCTCTACCTCGTCGTGGTCAGCGTCCTCATCTTCAGGGTCGGCGGCACGAGCTGTAAGGCCTTCGCAATGCAACACACATGCAAACATAATCCAGAAAGAATGCTCAGACTTTTGGTTCAGACTATTCTTGGTTTTTCCGCCTGCACAAGGACGGGACAAGCCCGACTTGAGACTGGGCCTCGCCCTCCCTGGGTGCTGCCGAGGACGCAGCTGTCGCCCCTCTGGCGCACCCCCCAGGAGGGCCAGCGGAGCCGAGGCCCGCGCACCGGCCTTGCAGGGACGCTCCGCCTTCCCTGGGTGCGGCCGGCCGTGCAGCTGTCCGCGCGCCTCTGCTCTCCGCGGGGGTCCAGCGGAAGGGCGGGGCCCGCTGAGATCACGCCCTCTCCGGGCGCTGCCGGGCGCGCAGTGACGGGAAGTACTCGGCCATTCTCGGCCTCTGCGGGCCCTCCTTGGGCCCGAGGCCGCCGAGGAAGGCCTCGCCTCCACCCTTCGGGCAGAGGAGGAGGAGGAGAAAGGAGGAAGGAGGAGGAGGAGGAGGAAGGAGGAAGGAGGAAGGAGGAGGAGGAGGAGGAGGAGGAGGAGGAGCACGCAGTTGACCATTGGTCAGTCTAAAAAGGGGGTAGCCTGCCCTTCGATTAAGGGAGGCAGAAAAGGCAGGGAAGCTAAACTTCCCCTCTCGTAAATTTGGCAAGATAGGCCGACCCTGTCGACGTGGCCTTCTTGCATTCTTTGAAGAGATTCTGACCCGCTCTTGTAGCGTGTGAGCCGCAGGTCAGGCATATGTAGGTACCCTTGGCAGACATGACCATATCATGAGACGGGTCAACATACCTGGCACCGATGTACACATTCTGGAGAGACTTCGCTCCCTCATATCCTGTACGGGGTTTCGCAGGAATGCACGGGGAGGCCAGAAACTCCTGGGACGGAATATTGCCGTGCGAGTTAACAGAAATGACCGAACAGCAACTATTACAATAGAGCCTAGAGTCAGGACCTTCTCCTACAGGAATCATATTGTGCGCCGATTCCCTAAGCTGCTTGGCTAATTTGGGGCGAGGGTTGAAGGCTCGAGGAGGAGGAGGAGGAACGGCTGGTTTCGGCTTGGCTTTGGCTTTCTTACGAGCTCTAGGGGCCTGGGGATTGTCTCCAGAGGCCTCCGAAAATCTCGAGAGGAAAACTTCACAAGCTCGAATTCTCACAGCACGCGTCAGGGCCTCAGAAATCTGGACCGCCTCCACCTCCCCCGCCTGCAGCTGTATGTTCTTGGCCGTGTGCTCGGCCAACTCATCAGCTGCCTTATTCCCAACCCAAGCAAAGACAAGCTCCTTTTTCTCTGCAGCCTGCTCGGGAGTCATGTGCGACTCGATCTTGATGATAACGGTCGGCTTCTCTCGAAGAAGCCGCTGAATTCGACGCCACTCGTTCCTAAATCCAGCAGGGAAGAAATCCAAGAGGACCTTATTGACGTTTTTCTGGACATATGACGAGTCCGTGACGAAGACAAGCAGTCGGCCCACAGGGGCCTACTCCAGGAACCTCAAGAGCGCTATCATCTCGCCGTGGTTGATAGTCTGGGGCCCCCATGTGGCTCCCGAGGAAGCCCTTGACAAGGCCAGAGACGGAGCTGGGTTTCCTAAATCGAACTCCTCGAAGACGACATAAGCCCAAGACACTCTCCTGAATCTGGCCTGATCCGAGTATTTACCCCCCGAGGCATCACCTGCACCGATGATCAGGCATGTGCCGTCGGGAAAGAAGCCGTGGCTGTGCACAAAAATGTCCGCCTCGTCGGGCGGTAGCGAAACTTGTGTCCACGAAGAAGGAGTGAGGCCTCGAAGCCACACTGAAGGCTGTGAATCCACCTGGGTGCGAGCACGGTGCACATATGCCTCGACGCTGGTGGTCGAGGGCAAGGCGTCGTTCGCGGAACATTCCCATATTCGGTGAAAGGTAGACTCTGGTCGTCCACAATCACAGCGATCACAAACAACAGAAAAATCAGGCGGGTTGATGATGCTTTGAACTCTCTCTCTAGCCCACTGACCACCACAGCACACGTTGACTAAAGCTCCTGCCCACTTAAGCTGGCCTTTATCTCTAGCTCGTCGTAGCTGCTGTCGTACATCAGTTAGGTCTACTCCGTTAGCAACATCTGCGCTCTCATAATGCTTTGCTGCTCGCTTCCAAAGAACCCGACGAACTGAATCGGCTAGGTCTTGACGGATATCATCTAGATCTAGTGGACCTGCTTCAAGGACCTCTGGAGTAGCCTGATAGACGTTCCCAAGATCAGAAACCCAATGCCAAGGTCCAATGGGGTCCCAGTTGATGTCCAAAAGGGTGCTCACTACAGCTCTGGTGGGGCCTATGATTCTGCGCCAACGATGCTTAGGAATCTCTCTAGCCTTAGCCACGTGCTGCGACCAGTCCCGTGCTGCAAACGCTCGTGCTTCAGCTCCTGACGCAAGAATGGCCATCCAGCTGTCGAGCATCTTAAAAACCTGCGAGATTGCTGGATCTTGATCTCCAAGCTCCAGCTGCAAAAGAGTGTCGAGGCACCGGCCACGGACCGACATCGTGAACGTGCCTCCTATAGCTCTGCGCCAAGCCTGCACTGCAGAAGGGCTCATACCATACACAGCTGCATCATACTGCACCTTTGCATAACATCCACGATGTATCACGCGACGTGCTGCTGCTCTGCCTGTTCTGCCAGCTCCAATAAGCTTCCGAGCTCGGCCTACTTGCTTCCATGCTGCTTTGCGACGTGCTGCTGCTTTAGGTCGTGCTCGCATGTTCGTGCCTCTGTCGGTGCCTAGATCGACTGCTTTCTGTGCCACCGTGATCTTAATATTGTGCTGTGCCAACTTGCGCGCAATGTCCTTTGCTAAGCCAGGGTCCCCCGCGATGATCTTGCTCTTGCTTGCGATGCTCAAGTGCGCCTTGTTGCAGAGCCTGCCCAAGAGAACCCCACCCTTGGTGAGCGCCTGGGAGAGGAACCTGACGGACCCGTACGCATACTGAGTGATATCATCTACCCAAGACGACGTATTGACCGACGGTGAGTACTTGTTGTACACAGCTTCAAGGATACTGTAGAGATAAAATCTTCCAAAATCGACCCCTCTACGAGCTCCTGCAATGATGGACTTGTTGGCCTGGACTGGTGGCGAATAGCACCCTGCTTCCCGAAAAACTCTAACTATAAGATGAGCCAGCCCTTCCATCAGCAACAGCAAAGGCGGAAAATCCAGGGCCAAGCCCTGCTCGAACAGACGCTCGTACTCTAACGAGTCGTAGAAGCTGTCGATGTCCCACAGTAGGCTAGCCGAGACGGTGTGCTTGGGGCCCATGCTGACGGCTTCGTCAGTGAAGGCTCGTAAAAGTCCTACACGCAAGCAAGAAGAACCTCTGATCGCATTGTCCCACTTGCCAGCCATCTGCTCGACCCATTCAGAAGGAAAAATCTGTCTTGCTGAACTCCACAAGCGTATCAAATCTGGGATCAGACCAATTGAACGATCAGAGTCAGCGCCTTTCCTCAACAGAGCAACAATGGCAGTCTGAATCTGCCAAGGCCAGCCTCCTCGCCGTTCGCATTCATTCAAAAACCCAGTCAAGTGTGCAATGCCAGCTGGAGGTAAATACTTGAGGGTACCGCCCAACTGCTCGATGCCTGCCGCCTTGCTGGAGTTGATCTGCTCGACGGTGATGGCGATCTGCTCAGGCTCCAGAGCTGGCCAAGGTTGCGCTGCTGCCTTAGCGTGAGCCCGTCGAAGGAGTTGAAAGAGCTTTTGCACTGACAAAATTTTGGATGCCCACTTGCGTTGCCACAGCTGACTCTTCTGGACCAAAATCTCCTTGAGGCTCGTGGAACTTCCTTTCAGGTCGCGGTACTCTGTCTCAACGCGCGTCTTGGGCTTCACGCACCGATGCAACTTCCCACAGCCTTGCGCAAAAGAATCTCGAATCCAAGATTGAAAAGCGCTGTAACTCTCCTTGGCCGCCTTGCGCTCCAGAGCTGCAGCGATCTTACCCGCTGATGCGCCCATCATAATGAGAGCTGCTCTTGGTAGATTGTGAA